TTTCGCGAGTAATGCGATGGCAGTAAACCTCGCGAAGACATTACAGAGAGATTATTGCACACAACTATCACTCAACACGTGTTCATGTCTTCCAGCGTTGGATTCAAAGGCCAAATGTGTCCCAAAAGTGATCACAAGAACTGATTCTCGACTCAAGATTTGTCGTCACAAAAGTGTCACTCATTTGTGTACAAATCACACAAACATTGCTGTCATGTCTCACGTAAACAACGTCTGCAATGCGTGTGCTTTTGGTCCCCATTTCCAAGAGTGGAGGCATTACTAGCGTTGAGACCCAATCTCCGCCCCCTTTAAGCGTCACGTAATGTGTGTTAATATTGCTATCATTTAGTGTTTGTTTTGTTTGCAAAATATTATGGAATTGAATGACGTTTTGAACCAATAATTGGCGTCACTTTCAAAGCCATTCGCTGTTCAATGAATTGATTGTATTTTGCAATCAATTCATTCAATGCATCAGTGATTGCATTGAAACACATGCTCTCATCACTAATTATTAATTGCATTCATTCATTACAATTGAAGCCTACAATCAATAAAATAGCATATGCTTTACAGTTGACAGTAACATGCATGTTACAAATTGTGTGATGAGATTTGAGCATGGTGATGCGGCACCGTTTTAACCACTACCATGGACCATGGTGGTCCAGTATTTACTGATACAGTATATTTTAGGTACATTTTATGTGTACCATATCTGATAGTAAATTATCCATTTAATAATGACTAGATTATTGGTGATATATATATGAAGAATATGGTAATTTACTGACAATTGAATTGACTACAAGCATTTGTGGTGACATAAGCCCTTTGGTTGTTTGCCATACAAACACGTTATGATAAAATATTTAATGCAAACACATTTTTAAATCAATATTCAATTGATTGCAGTTTTACTGTAACTTTAATATAAAAACAAGAATACATTGAAATGACAATAGAGTGGAAGAATGGATGAGAGTTGCCCTCAATTGCATCGCTATATACTGTATAATGCATTCATTCCTGGAATAGAGTATTGATTTAAAGAGTAAATTCGTTAAACATTATCAATGCTCTCAATTTATAATTAATGTTATCATATGTTAGCTGAAAGACAGGAATTTTTCGTATTGACCTCAAATTATGGCACAATTAAAGGCTTAAACAATGTTCAAAAATACGGCATTTAAATTAGTTGTTAAATAAAATGATAAGAAAATAATTAAAAAATTGTAAATTATATATAAATAAGATTTGATTCATTAAGTGATTGTAAACATGCGTTCATGAATTGACATGTCGTTCAAACACATGTCTCGGCGTCTGATTCTGTAATTCGTGATAAATTCCAAAAACAATTAGCGTTTGAATCTATAAAATAATATTTAAATAATTTAATGGATATATTGACTAAAACGGTGAGACAAACCGTTGCTATTGATTGGACTTCTTTTGATAAGTTGGTCCATAGCTCGATGTGTGGGTACAATAAGTTTGGTCCGTTCGCCGGCACCCGTCTGTTGATTGCTAACAGAATCAGAGACTAATAGCAACTTTTTCACCACATCTTTGCCCAAAATGTTGTCCAGAAGTGTCTGAAGGTATGGATCACAAGAGATGGAGAGTTTGAGTTTATCCCTATTCCAGACCAAGAGTCGAGATTCCTCTAAAGCCACGATTGACACCTNAGTCGAGATTCCTCTAAAGCCACGATTGACACCTGATATGTCTCATGAGAGCCGACGCCAAACCATTCGGGAGAGTCCAGGAACTGATGACTGTCTATAATATGAAGAGTCTGACCGCCCCTTATGATGGACACCCGTCCCGACAATAACAGTGTCAGTCTATCGACTCGAGTGCGGCCTTCGATGGCATAGATATCATTAGACTTGAGTGTCTGGATCTCTCGCGTACAGAAGTATATGGTTTTAAATGCATTTCGCGACACTCTTAACGGTTGGAACAGATTTCTGTAGACCATCTCAACGTCGTGTGGAAACCTATTAGGAGTTGACATCAAATTAGACATCAAATCACAGCTCAATCTTATCTCAAACCTAATAAATGGGTGTAATTTCCAAACAATACAAATGACATGAATGGCGTTAATGGCTGTGAAGATGACATTCCAGACAATGATATCTGATTCACACAACACTATCCAACCCCAGAGAGACAGGAATAGACATCCAATGGTGAGACACGAGCGCAGGTATAGGACACCGAAGACACTGTTTGTGGCCAAATAGGCCATCAGGAGGAAGACATTTGCCGTTTGAAACAACACATGATTTGGACGCTTCCACACCAAACACA